ACTTTCACTTGCTATATGGGGGGGGTGGGGTGGGGTGGACTCCCATTGGGAAATGTTCAGAAACTTCAGCAGGTTGAAAATACTGTGGCACACTGGGGCTGTTTACAGGATACACCTAAGTTTGTTGTTAAGACCACTTCACCGGCAATGAGTGTGTTGCTGGGCAAAATTCAAAGTGCAGTTGTGACTTACAAGCCCTACGTACGTCAGTTAAGACCAGTTGCAGGTTTCCACCCCGAGGGCCGCACAGAAGTCCGCAACTGGGAGCTAGGCCTTCTCAGTGGTGGCCACCGCGTTCTGGAATACTCTACTCGTCGGGCCCCCGCTCTTCCTAATGTTTAGAAGGCAAATAAAAACATCGCTCTTCAGTCAGGCTTTGGAGCGCCCTCTCCCTATTTAATTATTTGATTGTTTAACTTTTTTATTGCTTAAGTTTATGTTATTGTCATTGCCATCTTGGATTCTGTGCCTGTCTGTTTGTTCATAGGGATGGGCTATAGGGGTGGGTTTTCCCCCCCTTTCTCTCTCTATTCTTTTCATTTTATGCTTACATTTTGTTGTAAGCCACCGAGAATAGGGGCTTGCCATTAGGTGGGTGGAATAGAAATTAATAAACAAATAAATAATTTTTTTTTTAAAAAAGAAAGAAAGATCAGGCCATCTGAGGAAATGGTATTTTGTTCTGTGAGCTTGCCCATGTTTTAAGATCTTCAGGGAAAGAGCTTCTCTTCAGGCCCAAAAACTCATAGGTGTATTTGGTGAGGACCTTCTTGTGGTGGCTCCCTGGCTGGAGAACTCCCTATTATGGGAGACTAGGCTGTTCCACTCATAGTTAATCCCTCTGCCAGTAAAAAAACAACAACACAGAACCTTTTTATTGGCTGCTGAGGAAGTGGTTTTTAATAGGTAGAGGATGCGCTTGTTCTAATTAATTTGCTAGTAAGTAGTTGGCATGTTTCAGAATAAAACATGCCTTCTTCGTGAGCTGTCATAACAAGGTAGCAGAAGAGTTATGATTATTAGCCTGTGAAGGAGTGTTTCACTCACGAATGTACCAGCTGTTAATCAACAAATCTCAGGTGTCTTTTTTCAGCAAAGACCTTTTTATCCCCTCTCTTTTTCTTGCTGACTATTATTCTCCTTCCCGTTGTCTTTGCATTTGTTAGTTCAGGGCAGACTTTCTGCATAATATAGGGGAAAGATTTCATTTAAGGAAAATAAGATATAGGACTCAGATATGTGAGAGAAGAAATGAAAAAAAGATACATTATCGGTAACATACTTTTCTAGTTTATTTACTGAAATGTCATTGGGGAAGGTTAGGAGAGCTGTAATGAATCTCATTGCTTTCTGCACAAGAATGCACTAAGTCGGAGATGAAATTTATTCCCCCTCCATTTTCTCCCCCCTTTGAACTAATTTTCCTAACACTGATTTTTTTCTGTGAATGCTTGGTAATAACTAATAGAGGCCACCAGGTGGCAGTTATTTTACATAATTCTTTAAAGCTAATGGAAGGCTAGTATTTATTTATCTTAAAAATTTAAGATTACTGTTCTAATTAATTCAACATCCTTGTTAATGACTGAATTGCTTTTGCTCAATATACACAAAACACACAACAATGTGCATTGTTTATTTGAATTGTTCAATTTCATTTTCATCAAACATTTCCAGATCTCACTACTGAGGATGAGTGTGTGTATGTAGGGATGGAATTGTGTTCATTAAGTGAATTATTCAGTGTTCCAAAATGATGGGAGTTGTAATATAATTACATCTGCAGAGACAAAAGGGAATTGGTGTTTTAACAGTATTATACCTTTCTCAACAGAGCACTGTGTTGAAAAGGAGAAGGAGACCCTGCAATTACAGTTTCACTGATTTGGTAAGTGTTATTCAGGAAACAGCAATGTTTCTAAAGAGCTTTTTCATCCATAATTCATGAGTCTTACTTTCAAGGAGTTGTGCACATCACCTGATCCTAAATCGTCTTTTTTCCAGAAATTCCTCATACTTGAATGAAAGAATGAATGAATCAATTGATCAATTAATTAATTAATCAATCAATTAATTTAATGAATCAATGAATGAGGCTTGTAGAATAGGCCTTTCGTTCTCCCTACTGGAAGATTATTCTATCATGATTGAATTTTACTAAATGACTGTTTACGGGTACAGACCATTTTGATATTTTAAGAAAGTGCACTATCAGACAAACTGGGGTATCCATTTTAGGGTCTTTAAAAAATGTATTCGTGAAGGCTTTCACGGCCAGGATCTAATGGCTGTTGTGGGTTTTTCAGGCTCTTTGGCCATGTTCTGAAGGTTATGTCGGCCACAGAGACTGGCGAAACGTTAGGAAGAACAACCTTCAGAACACGGCCAAAGAGCCTGAAAAACCCACAACAACCATCTAAAAAAAAAATCTTCACAACCATCTTAAAAAAAACACCTCTACTTCAGCAAAAGGAAGTTATTTCATGGGTCAAAATATTGGGAGAATCAGCCATTCAAACAAATTTAACATGTTTCTTTCAATGAGAAATGAATACAAAGGTGTGATTTGTTTTAAAAAAATTGATTAACAAACTAACATCACATGGCAGTTGAAGTGATGGCTGAATGTTTTGAGATTTGTTGATATGAATGCTCACACACTTGTTCAAACACTGACCCTTCGGTATGGTCTGGTAATCTGTCCCCGACATACAACAAAATAAAGTGTAATAATGAGGGTGTAACTTTGCATGTAGTCCTGAGACCCAATTTATTCTGTTCTCCTACCCATGAAGTACTTACGTGCATGCACTGGGAGCTGCATGCGTAAAGCACCTGCAACATGTAACCATGTGTGGCAAAAGATGGAGGGAATATACTTGTTCTAGGAAAAGGAAAAAGCAAAGGAAAGCATGTTGCTTATATACCAGCCCATAGTGCTTAAAGCACTCTCTGGGCAGTTTACAGTTTAATTGTGCAGGCTACACATTGCATGCGCACATCATGAGCTGGATACAATTTACCAAACTTGGAAGGCTGAGTAAACCTCAAGCTACCTGAGATTGAATCCGGATCATGAACAGAGTTTTGGCTGCAGTACTGCAGTTTAACCACTTCTTCCTTAAAGATCATCAAAAGCTAGTAGCACCAGTGCAAGCTGTCCATATCATCACATTCTAGTGCTAGCACAGCTTCTCTCTGGCCTCCTCCCACTACTAAGAAACCCAAACACTTGCCTTTGAGTAGGTCCTCATTCAGCACTAAGCATTATGAAAGAGGTGTCCGGGGAGATTGCCTGTGCCACCCCTGCTTAATGTACTTATGGAAACAAGTTTTTACCCTGTTTCCCTGAAAATAAGACAGGGTCTTATATTAATTTTTGCTCCAAAAATGCATTAGGGCTTATTTTCAGGGGATGTTTTATTTTTGTCATGTACAACCATCTACATTTATTCAAATGCAGTCATGTCATCTTATCCTGGTTGCTGCACAAGGGTGGAGGGCGGAGTTTCACTTAACTAGGGCTTATTTTTGGAGTAGGACTTATATTACGAGCATCCTGAAAAATCATACTAGGGCTTATTTTCAGGTTAGATCTTATTTTAGGGGAAACAGGGTATTTGGCACCAAAAGGATAGCAATATTGGCACCAGTCACAGTTCTGTGGAAGAATGACTTGGATATAATTCAAGTCATTCAAGCACAATCATGTTTCCCATGATACATTTCTGAAGGATACAACCTGCAGGCATCTTCGGGCAACCACCAGGGAGCACTGGATCTGCCATGGGGCTTGGCATTGACCAAGTGCTGAGGCAAGAACACCCTGCTGAACCCAGCTCTTGGGCATGGAGTTAGGGTACCTTAGGTAACGCTGGACTCTAGACTGGCTGTAATAGTTACACTTTTCACTCTTTAGCTGCCAACTCCTGCGAAGTTGCTGGAACCAGTTGTATTGCTTTCCCATTGGACCATTTCAGCCACATGGAGAGGGGGGATTTGCTGCTTGGGTAACAGCCTATCCTCCATACTACTTTACCCAGGCTTCATGCTCTGGAGAGGACACTCCTCGATACAGAGCATGTTACCATAGTATCTCGAGACTGAAGGATGCCTATGATGATGATGTCAAGATGTGTTTGACCAGCTTTGCTGTATGTGAGGCCTCTCCTTCTTAGCCCCCCCCCCATTGCTCTGGAGACTCAACTCTGTCCATGGAGGAAGAACAGGGTGCCCTCTACCTTGGGTGGGTGAGTGGGTGGCGGGCGGCGCAGGCTCCTCTTTCTTTACCTCCCTTAAGGGTCAACTATAGGGACTTAGATACTTATAAACGAACCTCTGCTGGAGAGCAGAGAGGAACGAATGGGAGGGTCAACCAGCCCCCCCCCCGGTTGATGATGGGCCAGCCTGGGCTTTCGGGGTGCAGGCAGTTCCTTCTCGATGGTTCCCACCGCTGATCCCAACGGGGGTCTCCAGCTCGGGCACATCATCACTCTGTGCCTTCGCACAAGGAGCGAGGCTAGTGGAACGGTGGGGGGGGGAGGGAGTCGGGAGAGGAGTAGCGCCGGGGTTTGGCTTTTGTCAGCCGGATTCCTCCAAACCCCCCTCCTCTTTCTCTCTCTCTCTCTCTCCCTCCCTCTCTTTGCAGTAGCCGCTAGCTCTCAGCAGGGGCTCCCTCGCCATGCCTTGTTGTTTGCTTTAGCGGCTGCCCGGCCGGAGAACTACTTTCACGCAGGCGGCGGCGGCGGTGGTGGCGGCGCCCTTCCCGGCTT